AAACGAAAATTTGCACAGAAAATGATCATATAAATGGAAAAAAACCTATCGACTACCCTAAAAAGAGTGATAGAGTGTGATATTGTAGCTTTGACTCTCTTTTTTTTTTCTTTGAAACAGGGTCTCCCTGTAGCCCCAGCTGGCCTGGAATAGGCTATGTAGACCTGGCTGGTTTCGTTCTCACAGAGATCTGCCTGCCTGTGCCTCCCAAGTGCTGGGACTATGGGTATATGCCACCATGTTCAGCCTCTAATTTATATTTTTAATGCTCTTTCTGTCCTCTTGTGTGTGTGTGCGTGTGTGTGTGTGTGTGTTTCTGGGGATTGAATGCAGAGCCTTGTACATGTTAGGCAATACCTCTATTACTGAACTACATCCCCAAGTTTGTTTGTATTTTTTGATCTAAGAATTGGATTTAAATATAAACCAGGTCATGGGTACAAGACAGGAAGTGAGAGATCTCTGCTTTCAGTTACTAGCTTGCTGTATGGTTGGGAGCAGCAATTTAGCTTTGCTAGATTCTAAATTTCCTGCAGTGAAAATAAGAGGGAGAGACTAAACTGTATCCTTCAAACATGGCCCATCTATATCTCTCTCCTGAGTTCCAGCTCAGGCCTTGTCTCAGAAATGAATAAATGTGCTAGTTTTTGTCAGTTCGACATAAACCAGAGACACCTGGGAAGAAGGAATTTCTATCAAGGAATTTATTTCCTCAATGAGATTGGCCTGTGGCTGAGTTTTTGTTTTTTTATTTTGTTTTCTTTCTGTGATGGCGTTTCCTTGTAGCCCCAGCTGGCCTGGAACTCACTGTAGACCAGGCTGGCCTTGATCTCACAGAGATCTGCCTATCTCTGCCTTCAGAGTGCTGGAATCAAAGGCATGCACCACCCCCCAACCCCTTTCCCCACTATGGCCCCATCTTTGAGGCATTTTCTTGATTACTAGTGGACGCAGGAGGGCCCAGCCCATTGTGGGTGGTGTCATCCCTGGGCAGGTGGACCTGGGCTGTACAAAAAAAGAAGCTGAGCAGGCTGGGGAAGCAAGCCAATAAGCAGTGTTCCTCTGTGGTCTCTGCTTCCGTTCCTGCCTCCAGATTCCTGCCTTGAGTTCCTGCTCTGACTTCCTTCAGTGATGGACTGTGACCTCTAAGCTTAGTACTCTTTACTTTGGGTCATGGTATTTATCACAGCAACAGAAAGAAAACTAAAACAATAATCATTAATTATGATTTTGTTTGCAAGTTACATAATTATTTGCTTCATTTAATTTTATTTTTGAGACAGAATCTCACCATATAACCTTTGCTGATCTCAAATTCTTTTTTTTTTTTTTTGGTCATTTTGAGACAGGGTCTCCCTGTAGCCCCAGTAGACCAGGCTGGCCTTGAACTCACAGAGATCCACTTGCCTCTGCCTCCTGAGTACTGGGATTAAAGGTGTGCACCACCACTCCTACCTCAAATTCTTTTTTAAAATAATATTTTTATTAATTCTTTGAGAATTTCATACAATGTATTTTGGTCATATTCAGTCTCTCTTCCCTGTCTACCTATCCTCCCCCACCTCCCTACCCACCCAACTTCTTTTCCTCTTTTTTTTTCAATTCTATTGAGTCCAATTTGTGTTGCCCAGATAAATATTCAGGTGTTGGGCCAGCCCCTGGAATGTAGTTGACCTACTACCAGGGGTCACAGCCTGAAAGAAAACTGACTCTCCCTCTCCCAGCAGTTATCAATTGCTAATGGTTCCTCAACTAGTGGTAGGACTTCATGCTCACCTTCCCCCTCCATGCCAGAAATTTATCTGGCTTGATCTTGAGCAGTCTTATGAATTCTGTCATAACTGCTGGGGCCTTATATGTGCAACTGTCCTGTTGTATCTAGAAAACAATTTTCTTTTAGTCATCCACCACCTGGGACTCTTACAGTCTTCTCACCCCCTTGTCTATGATGGTCCCTGAGCCTTGGGGGGAGGGGACTAATATAGATTTCCCTTTTAGAGCCATGCACTCCACAGTCTCTTATTCTTTGTACACGGACCAGTTGTGGATCTCTCTGTTGGTCACCATTTACTGCAGAAAGAAGTTTCTTTGATGAGAGTTGAAATATGCATTAATCTGTGGGTATAATGGGAAGTCATTAATAGGTTAATACTATGTCTATTTAGCAGAATAATACTAGTAGGTTTTCCCCTAGGGTCTATGACCTACCTAACTACAGATTCTTGGCCCCAATAATGGTGGAAAATATAGGTTCCATCTTGTGGAAAGGGCCTTAAATCCAATTAGAAAGTGTTTGGTTACTCCCACAACATGCATTACCACTGTTGCTCCAGGGGGCATGTCTTGTGAAGACCAGCCATTATTGCAGCTCACAGGGTTCACAGCTGGGTAAGACGGATGATTACTTTTCTCCTCTGGTAGCATGCCTGCAACCTTCTAGCACTCTGAAAACTAGCCAGTAGGAACTCAAAAAACTAAACATCAAGAAAACAATTCAATTAAAAATTGGAGCAAGGTTACTGAACAGAGAGTTCACAAAAGATGAAAAGTGGCTAAGAGATTTTTTTTTTTTAATGTTCAACATCCTTAGGCATCAGGAAAATGCAAATTGAAACTACTTTTTGATTTCATCTTACCCCAGTCAGAATGGCTTAGATCAAAAAAAACAAATGATGACAAATGCTGGTGAGGATGTGGGGAAAGGGAACACTTACTGCTGGTGGGGTGGGAACTTGTGCAGCCATTATGGTCTCAAATTCCTGATCCTACTGTTTTGACTCCCGAGTGCTGGGATCCTGCATGTGTGACACCCTGCTCAGCTTTTCATTTTATTTTTTATATGATCAACATCACTTGAAACAAGTCTAAAGTTAGAAATAACCTATATACTCAATGAGAAGGAATTCTTTTTCATTATCATGATCTCTGAATGACTATCAAGTATGCATTTGAAGTGATTATAGAAAATTCTCCAGTGGCTGAGAGGAAATGCTAACAAGCTACAGGGAGCAAAGGAATCGCAAAACACAGTGACCACACTTTTGTTTTAAGAAGTAATAGTCTCAGGGCTCCTCTTACAGAGGACCCAGGTTCAATTCCCAGTACCCACACGACGGCTAACAACCATCCCTAACTCCAGTTCCAGGAAATATAACACCCTCTTCTGACTTCTGTGGACACTGCACAACATAGGTGCACTTACACGCATGCAATATACTCATACACATAAAATAAAAATAATAAATCATTTTTTATAAATAGTTTTCTTAAAAAAAGAAATAATGGTCTCAAAATGTTAACAATATTAATTCTTGGTAGGTAGGATTTTTCTAAGAACAAAATAGTGTCTGTATTTCTAGCTCCTTTGAGGCCAAGGTGGGAGGATCACTTGAGTTCAGCCTGGGCAGCATAGCAAGATTCAGTCTTAAAAGCAAAACAAAAAAAAACTAGACAATCCAAGTGTAAAAATAAAAAGTCAGTTTAGTTATCTTTGATTTGTGGGGTGTGTGTGTGTGTGTGTATGTGTCTGTGTGTCTGTGTGTGTCTGTGTCTGTGTGTATTTTTCTACAATACAAACAGCACAATGACAATCAACAGTTTAAAAAAAGACTGTAAGGGGCCCAGAGAGCTGGCTCAGTGGTTAAGAGCGCTGGCTGCTCTTGCAGAGGACCCAGGTTTGAGTCCCAGTAGCCGCATGGCTGTTAACAACTGTCTTTAACTCCAGTTCCAGGGGATCTTCTCATCTCTGCAGGCATGGTACGTCATGGGTGCACCTACCTTCATGTAAGTAATAAATATACTCGTATAAATAAAATAAAAATAAATTTTAAAAAAGACTGTGAAAGTCTCATTTCTATTGTGAAAGGAAGTTCCCAAGAAGAACAGCACCTTACATTAAACCTTTGCAAGGCTGATAAATTGATCAGAACTTCAATGATTGCGGCGAGTTTGGAATATTGCAAATCCAGAGCCAAATTGCCTTGGGTCATCTTTACCCCTCTCTCCCCATTACGTGTCATTTATTGCTCTCTTCTGTACGTGACCTAACATCTTTTGTGACCAATGGGTAATTCCTTTGGAATGTACAAACAGCACTAGTTTCAAACCAGTCAGTGTTCAGAATGATGTCAGATAACATCTGGGGTCTATAACAGAACTTTCCCTGTTTTGCTGTGGCCAGCCTACCTAATGTTTCCACTGATGTATTTGAACAGTGCCTTGATAATGACTTTCTTTGTTCTGTTACTCTAAAACCTTCAAACTGGTACCACACTGGAACATGGAATTTGGGGTGACCTAAATCTATGTTCCTGGACCATGGTCACCCATATTTTGGGTCCAGAATAAACTATCTCTGGTCCTTTGAGGTGAAAGTTGTTTTAAGGAAGCACAGCTCATTGTTTTCCCACAAAGATACTGAGCATTGTTTTTGAACAGATATAACCTTTTCCTTTGTCCCACTGGCTCTTTGTTCTCCAAGAGCTCATCTTCCTGGTCACTAAGCGGATGTGAATGGGGTTTCCAGGTTAGCGGAATACAATGGGCACTTGCCCCTGGAACCTGACCCAGCCTATTTCCTTGAGCGATTCACCCCTTATGAAGTCCCTCTGAATTAACAGATGGCTAATTCAGACAAGCTAGAGAGATTCTAATAGTATAGTAAATATATATATATAATATATGTATATGTAAATATGTAACTATATAACATTTTTATTTACTGTGTTTATTTTTACCTTTACTTTTTGAGATAGAGTCTCACTCTGTAGCTCAGGCTAGCCTTGAACTCAAAGCAATCTTCTTGTCCCAGCTCCAGAGTAAGGGATTACAGGGGTAATCTACAATGTCCAATTATTACTTCTGAAATATATAATAATAATAATTAATAATAATTGAAGGAAATTCTCCAAAGTGGTAACTATGATTATCTTCCCTATGTGGTAAAACTATGAAATTTCCTTACTTTTGCTTACCTTTGTCATCTAATCTTTTTCTTTTTGAAATGTGGTGGCGCTATAGAGACGGGCCCCAAGACAAATGGAAAGCAGCCTGTCTGGATACCCTCTGCTCATAGTGTAGCACTACTGTCTGTCCCCAGACCAGCACCAGGCAGCAGGCATGGGAAAGATTCGAGTGCTGTTAAATTTTCTTTAAGTTTGTATTATAATTTCAAATAAAATGAGTAAATGCTAATTTGTCAATGTAACCAGCCAATAATTTGAGACCCCATTACACTACTATAGCCAAAAGATTGAATGATTTACAATACCTAGACTTTTATAATATTTGTTCAGGTATATTTTACTAAATTTATTCAACATAAGAGTAATCTGATGCTTAATGAAAGTCAATCTGCTCCTCTCCACCTCATGTGGGATTCATATTCTCCAATCTTCCTACCACTAACCTTTCTCTGCTTTCCATGTGGGGCACAGGCCCTTCCATTCCTGCTGGGTTTTATGCACAATTCGCAGTGCTTATCCCTCATACCTGGCACCCCGTTTCTCAGGACCCTCATAGCGCTCCCCCCCAAAAGGAGCTCAGTGCTCAGTCCCTATCTTGCTGTGTGAGTCCCTAGCTGTTTGCATGGCTGAGCAAAGATCTTAGGTCAGACCATGTTCAAAGGCTTTGTGATTCTTCCACACAGCAGAGTACCACTGAAAAACATCCTGCCCCACACAGCCCTTGGAGCCCCTATGGCTGCATCTTCCAGCTTCTTTGGAAGTTCTCTGTCCACGGCCCAGCACAAGAAAAAAAGCCAAAAGAAACTATAAGGTTAACTTCTATGTGTCATTCTTTCTAGAAAAATGAAAACTCGACATCTATTATATGTAGCCATGAAAATATGTGTCACTACTGGGGAAATTGGAGTCCCCTTATAGGTTCATTTATTTTATTATTTTTTTTGTCTTTTTAACTTTAGACAGGGTCTCCCTGTAGCCCAGCTGGCCTGGAACTCACTATATAGATTAGGCTGGCTTTGAACTCACAGTGATCCACCTGCCTCTGCCTCCCAAGTGCTGGGATTAAAGGCATGCACCACCACACAAGGCTCCCTTTTGGGTTCTTTTTTTTTTTTTTTTTAATGTGTATGCATGGATTGCCTGTATGTAGGTTAAGTGCACCCATGTCGTGCAATGCCTGTGGAGGACAGAAGAGGCTGTCGGATCCCCTGGAACTGGAGTTACAGACAGTTGTTAGCTGCCATGTGGGTGCTGGGATTCGAACCTGAGTCTTCTGCAAGAACAGTGTTCTTAACTGCTGAGTCATCTCTCCATCCCCCCTTTTGGGTTCTTAATCTATTTAATAAGACAGCTTCTAAATAGACTCAGAAGGAAGCTTAAGGACAATTTCATTAAAGTTTGAGAGACAAATAATAGTACAGGCAGGCTAAAAATTCCAGCAGTTTCCCGGAGAAGGGGAGGCACGGAGGTCAGAGAAACAGAAAGCCCAGAGGGTCAAGGAAAGCTTGCTTAGGCGTGCTGAGCCTTGGATCTGTGTTCAGAGGGCACTCAGCTCCAGGCTGTGTCCCAGAGCAAATGATTTCATGAAGGACACATGGCTAGAAATAGAAATAAAGGTGGCTTATTAAAAGAAATGCACTCCAGAGAGTGGGAGTGGCCTAGTAAGCCCAAGACAGAGCCCTAAAAGTGATGGGCCATGTGGGTTGCTTTATAGGAGGACCTTTATAACGCTGATCTTTGTATCTCTTGAGCATTTTCCCAAAGGGTGCTCTGTCCCATGGATGAAGCCCAGGTAAGGAAGGGCTTCCAGTCTTCCTCTGCAGACTGCTTCTTTGATATGTTCATCTTGATGTTCCCGTCTGCAGCCACCACTCTCCAAGGCCAAGAAATGAGACAGGCATCATCATTACATTAATAAATGAATGTGTGGTTTTAGAGAACAAGGCTCGGTTCCTTCGCTCTCTGCGGACCAGATTTTATGCTTCTTTTTTCCCCTAAATTATCCCAGGCAGGAGAAGTGTTAGGGTGTTTTGACCCAATAGGTACTGTGCATGTGTGCATGCGTGTGTGTGCATGTGTGTGTAGCTTTCTAAAAAAAATTTTTTTTGATTGAATTTTTGAGATTTTCATATAATATAATTTGATGGTATTTAGGTCCCCTCTCCATCCATACCTCTCCTTACTGCCACCGCTCAATTTAATGTATTCTATTATATATAGAATTATACATGATATAATATTATATATATATATATAAAATAAAGCCTATAGGGTCTAATTTGTGTACCCAAATGTCCTTCATTGTGGATTCATCTGCTGGTACCATGTTAACCTACCAAGAGTCACATCTTTTTTAAAAAAAAAACTCTTTAATTTATTATTTTTATTTTATGTGTATGAATGTATTGCCTGCATGTAAGTGCACCCATATCTGGCAGTGCCCCCAGAGTTCAGAAGAGGGCATTGGATTCCCTTGGAACTGGCGTTATGGACAGTCATTACCTGCCATGTGGGTGCTGGGAATGGAACCTGGGTTCTCTGCAAGAGCAACCAGTGCTCTTAACCGCTGAGCCAACTCTCCAGCCCCAAGAATCACATCGTTTAAACAGATTGACTCCTCCCCTCCCAGCAGCCATCAATTGCCAGCAGTTCCTTAGGTTGGGCTGGGGTTTCTTACTCACTCCCCCCATGTCTATGCTCAGATTTTGTCTGGTTTAAGGTTGCATGGGAATTGTGCATTCAGTCTTCATTGCTGTGAGTTCATATGAGTAACTGACCGATTCTCTGAAAAACTTTTATTTCCTTGTGGTCATCCACCACCTCTAGCTCTTTTCTGCCCCCTCTTCTGCAATAATCCCCGAGCCTTGGGATGCAGAAGTTTGATATACGTGTTCTAGCAGTGATAAGCACTCTGCAGCCTCTTGTTCTCTGTACATTGGTCAGTGGCCATGGTTGGGGGGAGGCTTCCTGGGAGGGGTGGTAGAAGGCAACGATATAATGAGGGAAAGGAGAATAACAAAGTGAGAAGGGTTAAATGGGGGAGGGAATGGGAGGTCAGCGTGGAGGGAGGGGTATGGAGAGGAATAAGTAACACCACAGGCCTTTAGAAAAGCCACATGGAAACCTACCACTATAGAAGCTTCTTAAAATATATACATATACATTATATAGTGATATTAAAAGGAGTTACCTTATAACAGGAAAATATTGCCCCTAGTAGATACAATAAGCTAACCCAAATAAAACCATAATGCCAGGAATGAACTTTCTCTCTTGAAGCTATTGATCAGGAGCCCCATAGACCCTCAAACAGTATCGACCATTGCCCCTGCTCTTGGTTACCAACCAGAACTTGCTGGTAAGACCCTATTTCTGAGAATACTACATATATGAGCCATAGAATAAATGAGAAATCAGGCTGGTGCTGACTTCACAGCCTCACATCTACTGGTTAGCTTTCATAGTGCTGGAAGGCGCTATGCATACTAACAGAAGGAAAGATCAATCATCAACCCTACCCAGCTGTGAATCCTGTGAATTGCAACAATTGGCCTGGCACGATATGCCCACTGGTAAAATAGTAGCATGAATATTATGGGAGTAACCAACAACTCTCTAATTGGATTTAAGATCTGCTTCCTGGGACGGAGTCCATGCCTGACACTGATATCAGGCTTAGAAACCTGAAGGTCATAGGACATAGGGGAAAGCCTAATACTAGTTTTCTACTAAATAGTTGTCCTATTAAACTGACTCCTAATGTTATATCCATAAATTAATGCATCTCTCAACTCTCACCAGAGTTTCCTTATAAAGCAGATGGTATGTAGCTTTCTTATTTGCTAAGTGATTTCATACTCATTTGTTTGAATGCCCACTGCTGTAAGATAGTTTGGTTTGACTTTGTTTGGTTTCTTGAGATACAATCTTTCTATGTAGCACGGGCTGGCCTTGAACTTGATGGCCTCCTTCCTTTCACGTGTGAGACTACTTGATTCTCAGAATGAGGGAGTTTTACCGACCTCCCTTTTGCTGGTGTGGAAACTAAGGCTTGCTAAGGTTCAGTCATTCAGCAGAGGTCTTACCACTAGGAAATGGCAGAGTTGCACATGAATCCATGTTTCTTATTATTTATTTATTTATTTATTTATTTATTTATTTTATTTAGTCTTTTTGAGACAGGGTCTCCCCGTAGCCCCAGCTGTCCTGGAACTCACTATGTAGACCAGGCTGGCCTCAAACTCACAAAGATCCACCTGCCTCTGCCTCCCAAGTGCTGGGATTAAAGGCATGTGCCACCATGCCCAGCAAATCCATGTTTTATAAACTCAACTAGGTGTCTGCTGTTGTACTATAATTTACTACTGTGGGAGATTTTTTGACATCCTTTACTCCACTGCAGGTGCTATGTGCAGAGAGACACACTGAGATGCTTCTTTCCAGGCAGCAGTTTATTCATGCCAGCACTTGAGTCAGTGGCTCTGTACCCTAAAAGACTGAATGCTCCCCAAAAGCAAGGGTTTTATACCCCCTTTTGGTTCCCCATCACAGTTCAGTTCCTTTGTCTCTCATATACAGCAACATATTCTGATTAGGTGTTCCCTGATGCAGGGTTGTGACAGGTGGATCTGTGTGCATTACTCTGGTACAGGATCACAATATGTCACCTTCCCTTTGTTCTGGAGGATTCCTGCCACATTACCAGCTGATTGTGGGTCTCAGAAGGTGTGCTTTGGGTGGGAATAAGTGGGATTCCACGCAGGGGCCAACCACGACTGGGAGTTACACGTCGGCAAATATTTCTCAGTTTGGACTCACCTTGGACATTTTGAGTGGGGAAACATTTTATGGGACAAATCACTCCTAACATGTTTCCAGAAGCTTCATAAGCCTGATCCTTGCCTACTAAAAATCTGATTAAGACAACCTAGTATGTTCTCATAAATGTCCAAACCCACCCTCACCAGCTATACCTTCCTGGGATCCCCATTTTAAGGATTCAAGAACCTCTGATTTGAAAGCAAAAACATCTGCGTTGCTAATAAGTGGCAGCTCAAAACAACACCTAGATCAGTAACAAGGTAATTTCTGGGACGGGGTAGATAATTTGAACTAGACTGTCCTGGACCGACTCTGTTTGCACTGAGCAGCAGATCCGACGGTTGATGTAATC